CTACAATTATATAATCCTTATTTTCAAATATTATCAAAAAAATTTTTGTTTAAATATATTAATTTTATAAAAATATAAATCATAGATATTGTTATATAAATTTTCTAGGCAAATTTGCCTAGAATAGCCTACAGATTAAGAGATAACTATTGAAAGCTGTACTATTTTACTAATTCAGGATTTCTATTATGCAGAATTTCTATTCATAGATCTTATCAAAATTTATTCATATAATATACATTCTATATTCTTCAGCATGCTTCATTACACTTCTAATATTATCAAAATTTATTCATTTAATATATATCCTATATTTCTCAGTATGTTTCATCATACTTCTAATATCAGAATAATATTAATACAATATAATTTCAAAGTTACAATCTTAGAAACAAATAGAGTTTACTGTAAGTTAGATATAAAGATCTGAGTAATTATTCAAATTTGTTAATAGTAGGATTTAAACTCTAGATCTTTTGTATAGTAGTTTGATAATTTAGCTACTATATTAAGAATACTAGACTTCTTTCTCTATTTTTTTTTTTTTTTTTTATATTTTGAGTGATCTTACTTATCATTTTATTAAGAAAAAGCTAAAAAAAAAGCTAAAAACAATCTAATATACAAGTATACTAATTTGTTCTCTCTATACTATTCTGAACTAACTTAGCTACCTCTAAAATATCCAAGTTCAATATACTGTAGAAGCTATTCTCTCACAAAAATCTTAATCTGTCTGAACAGATTCTCAGAATTTGGTCAATGAAAATAACTTCTAGCTATATATCAAGATTCTAAGTTCTTTTCTACCTAGTTAAAACTAAGTAAAAAGAAGTTAGTATTTAGTCTTAAAATATAAAAGTAATAAAAATTATATAAATCTAAGTAGTCATAATTTATAACTAAATCTATATTAGAAAAACTTGTTATAAGTAAAACAAAACAAAAAAAAATATTGTCTTTTAATCTAGACTAGGTATAAAAATATTATATTTAAACAACATAAACATATCTCTTGAATTCTCTGTCTAATATCTATTTCTAATATTTTCTATTTCTATACTTATGCTATTTTACTAGAACTTTTTAGAACCTAATATATATAACAAAACAAAACACAGCTATATGTTTATTTGTTACATAGTTGTTATTATTAGAGTTTTTTAAAAATAGTAGTAAATATTATTAATCATTTGAAGTGAAAAAACTAATTTTCCTATTTTTTTAAAAAAAAGATGACTAAAGAGGAGCAAAATATATAGTTTTTGAACTACTTTATAATAGAGAGTATATTAATATCTGATCTAGCTTAGATATTATAAAGTGTCTATTGAGTATCTTCTAACTTTTAAAAAATAAATCTAGTAATATATTTCTTTGAAAATATCTTCTGGTTACTTCTTGTCAGAACCAAGTTATATTGCTTGTAGTCTCTAGTAAATAAGTCTACCAAGTTCTTAAAATTTATCTCATATTATTTTTTTTATTAATATTACTATATATTAATCAAAATATTAGCTTTATTACGGTTTTTAAAATAAAAAGTTTGCTCTGCATATAGTTTGAGTAATTATTAAAAAGAGTTATAAGTTTTTTTTCTCTATTTTCTAAGATATTATTTTTTTCTTATTTCTATGTATTATATTTTGAGATAATTTTTGTTTTTTTTAAGAATTTTTTTAAGGTTTATTTTATTTACTTATGATTTATAGTTTTAGTCTTATATATTTCTTTTTGAAATTTGATATATAACTAATATTTTTAATTATATTTGTTTGTTTATTTTATTTTCTATATAATTATATAATATAAACTGATTTGCATTTTAGAGTATATTCAAATCTCTTAATTTTTAAAAACAAATTTTTAAAATTTAATAATCTTAATATAGTAGTTAAATTATCAAACTGCTATATAAAAAGTCTAGAGTTTAAATCATATTATTAATAAATTTAAATAATTACTTAAATTTTTGTATTTAACTTATTATAAACTCTATTTATTTTAAAAATTAAAATCTTGTAAATTATATTATACTAATAATAATTAGATATTAAAAATATAATATAATATTATACAAATAAATTTTAATAAAATCTATAAGTAAAAAATTTGTATAATAGAGATCTTGAGTTAAATAAAGTAGTACAAATTTTAATAGTTATACTAGTTAATACTTGATCTAAAAAAAATTTTATATATTAAAAATATAAATTAAGTAGATACAAATAAATTTATTATATAAAAGAATAGCAATATTAATTTAGCTTAGTAGCTAACTAGATTTAAAAAGATTTGTCTTATAAAATATTTGAAAGTATAAAGAACTAATCTGATAAAAAGTTATGATATAAACTAAATTTATATAAATATTTATAAAGATATATATTAGCTTAATTGAAATATAATATAATTAGAGTTATTCACAAACTCTCTCTTGAATAAAACAAATAAAGTATCTTGTGATAAGACTCTATTTTATTAGAACAATTTGAGATACAAGTTAATTTAAATAATTCTTAAAAAGAGAAGTATAAGATTAGTATAGATTAAATATTAAATTAAAATTAGATTTTTTAAAGATATCAGAAAGTTTAAATAAATATTTATAAGCAGATATTAAATATTACAATTAGTAAGTAATCTAAATAGTAAAACTTTTAAATAAACAATAACTAAAGTTGTATATATAAACAATTATATTCACACTAACTAATGTAAAACTTAAAAATAATATTTAAAAAATAATTTGTAGATAACTTGTTAAAAAAAAAAAAAATTATTTAGCTTTATTTATAGATTTTTTTTGTTTAAGTCTCTTTTTATTTTATTTTTTTATATTTTTCTTTTTTCTTGTTTTAAAATTTCTTTAAATAAAATAAATTATAACAAGTAGTTATAATATACTACTAATACATATTATTGAAATAGTTGAAATTGAATTTAAAAATTTTTTTTACTTTTTTATAAAGATTTTTGTTAGATATAGCTAATTATTTATAAATACTATTTGAATAATCAGATAAGTTATACTTTAGTAGTAGGTAATTAGCTTAGTATTTAAAAATTATTTTGTAAAAAACTTTTTATACTTAAACAATAAAATTGTGATATGACTACTAAATAGTAAAAAAAAATAAAAAAATTTAATTATTTTTATTATAAATATAAAATTTATTGCAAATAAAGTATTAATATAACTTGTTAAAACAAAAAAATTTAAATAAATTTGAAATTTTTATTTAAAATTTATATTTTAGAAGTTTGATTTTGTTATATACTTTAATTTCAATTTAACTAGAAAATTCCAAATCTACTTAAATTCTATTCCTACTTACGATATATAGAACTATTTAACTATCTAATAATTAATTATATTGACTACTTAATTTAGCTAATATCAGATATTTTAGCTATGATCAGCATAATTCGGTTTGGAATTATGTATAAACCAACTTTTATATAGTTAAATATATAGTTTTAATCATTATCTATTATCTATTATTAAATTATTTAGTATTAATAATAAAGAAAGAAAAACAAATTTTAATATATCCCAAGAATAAATAATATAATAGATTTTAACAAATATATTAATGAAAATAAAAATTTCGAAAGAAGTTTTATTGTTTGGTCTAAATAACTTAATGAGCCAAAAATTAATAAGTGTTGTCATCTGCAGAACGATATCGATATCGATATACTGTAAATATAGATGCACATGACCAAATAAAGAAGTACAGTATAAATGTAGATACACATTAACCAATAAAGAAGTGAACCGGATCAATTTCTTTAATTATTCTGGTATTTTGAACAGTTATATTATTATGGTAATGAATCTCAAACCATCCTATAACATTGCTAAAAAAAATGACAATAATGCTAACAATAATACTTGGGAATCTTTGTTGATGAGAGCTATAAGTGTATACATATGACATAACCGTAAAATTCTTACTTTTTACCGAAAAATCTTAATATTTTGACATATAATAACCGAGATTGGCTGTTTGAGTAGCATCTCCTAGATTGGCCAATATTGTTACACGAATTCTAATTTTTAATGTACAAGATTAAAGGTTGATCCAATCTGGTTAAATAGCATAAAATTTTTTTTTTCTGTAAAACTTATTGTAATATATAAATTCGGCCATTAAAAGATAACCTCGTGTACATTATGTCGATTTTCTAAATCAATCTTTGTTTTATTAAGATATATGTTTAATAATACAGTACTGATAAAATCATTAATTAAATTATTTTTTTTTTATTTATTATTTAAAATATAATTAATTATTATTTTTTTTTTTATATAGTGATAGTAGAAAATCAAACTTTAGATTATTGTCAATCAAACTTGGGAAATGATCTTTATTGTATTACGTATATACATTATGTTAACAATTCAGATATACTTAGGATTATGTAAAGATTCATCACAGTTCCGAGAGAATTTTTGTAAACATTTACATCATATGCATCTAATTTAAAGTGAAATGTATAAATAATTAAGATGAATACTAGATGAATACTCGGATCGGGTCATATGAACACAAGTTAAGATTTTTTTTTTTTTTTGAAAGGTACTACTAATAAATTAATATGGGAATGTTAACATCTTAAACAATCCGATCTTCCTTTCTTTGTTGTTGACTAAAAAATTGTCCTATTTATTCTAACGCCATATTAATTAAAAAGTTTTCTTCTCAGTAAAAATAATTTCTTTAATTCATAACTTCCGGGTAAAACAGCCTCTTTAAGTGGTAAGCGAAAGTTAAAATATATCACTGATACACTAAATGTAAAAATTGCGTTAGCAAACTATCTATAATCAAATCTTTTCATATATATATATATAATAATATATTATTACTATTTCTTTGTACTTTTCTTCGATTTAAGTTAAAGTGCAAGTTGTAAAACATTTATAATAATAACAAATTTTGGAGTTAATACATGACTGAAGTTCTCGTCTACGTGACTGATGCTCTCCAAAATATTTACGATGGTAACTTGGACTATTGCCAGAATTTAAAGTACCAAGGACAATTTGATTCGAAAGTAGAACAATTTGATGTGGTTTTTAAGAAATTGTTAGAGCGTCATATTTATTTAGAAAAAGAAGTGACTTATTATAAGTCACTACTTAGTGAAAATGATTCTATAGTCATAATAAATGACAATATATCTTCTGATGAAGATTCCTCTCAACAAGTAACAAAACCATCAACAGAAATGACTATTTCTCCTGCAAAATATGATGCTCTTCGTACTCATATTATGACATTACCACATAAAACCACTACTGACACATTTGATTCTGAGAGTGATCCTGAAACTCCTCCTTCTTTAGAACATGATAGAATTTGTTTAGATTGTTTAAGTCAATGTACAAATGTCGCTTTAGCTGTTTCAACTGGTGATTTCAAACAACGTATTACTTGTCCTTATGCATCCGGTCCAATGCTTACTTTGAAGAATGCAATGAATATTATGGCTGATAAAATTGATCATGTTTCTGTCGAACTCATTCGTAATGCTCGCGAAGTGGGTGAAGAGGGTAGATTGGGTGTTCAAGCAGAAACTCAAAACATAGAAGGTGATTGGAAGGAAATGATGGTACACTTAAATATGATGGCTAGTAATCATTCAGAACAAGTAAGAGATATTGCTGAAGTATGTACCGCAGTAGCTCATGGTGATCTTAGCAAAAAGATAACTGTTGAAGTTAAAGGAGAAACACTTGTATTAAAAAATACTATTAATACTATGGGTATGAAAATATTATTAATCTTTTAATGCATTATTTTTCAAAAATATATATGGATTTATATTTATAAGTTTATTTAATTTTTATATTTTAGTTGACCAATTAAATTCTTTTGCATCGGAAGTTACTCGAGTAGCTCATGAAGTAGGTACTGAAGGTAAACTCGGTGTTCAAGCTCAAGTTCAAGGTGTTGGTGGAACATGGAAACTTTTAACTGATAATGTTAATACAATGGCTGCTAATTTAACTGCTCAAGGTAAATTCATTAATTTTTATTCATTATTTAATACTAAAAAAATTAATTGTTAATTTTCATATGAAATTTTTTAAGTGCGTGATATCGCTGATGTATCGAAAGCTGTCGCAAGAGGGGATCTAAGTAAAAAAATTACTGTCGATGTAAAAGGAGAAATATTGGATCTTAAAAATACAATTAATACTATGGTTGATCAATTACAAACTTTCGCTACAGAGGTCACTCGTGTGTCACTAGAAGTAGGTACTGAAGGTAAACTAGGTGGTCAAGCTAATATTAAAAATGTTGGTGGAATATGGAAAGATCTTACGGACAATGTAAATCTCATGGCTTCAAATTTAACCGATCAAGTACGTGATATTGCTACTGTTTGTAAGAGTGTGGCTTGCGGTGATCTTAGCAAGACAATTACTGTTCAAGTTCAAGGTGAAATATTAGAATTAAAGGTTACCATAAATACGATGGTACGTTTCCTTTTTTATTTATTTATTTATAACTTGTAACTTATTTAGCTTTATTTATATTTGATTTATTTAGAGAATTGGTATTTTCACATCCGTGTAAATGATGCATTATACTTTCATAATTTCATTTAATTTATTAAAGTACTTATGACCACATAATGTATTGTTCACAAGGATGGGAAAATACCATATTCTCCTTTATTTTTTATGAAAATATGTTAATATTTTGATTATACAGGTGGCACAATTACGTATGTTTGCTGCCGAGGTTACGCGAGTCTCTCGAGAAGTGGGAACCGAGGGTCAACTCGGTGGTCAAGCAGAAGTCCAAGGTGTAGATGGCACTTGGAAAATTTTAACTGATAATGTAAATACCATGGCCTCTAACTTAACAGCTCAAGGTAATTTATCAATAAATGTATCTTTATTTTTGCTTATATAAATTGTGTTTAATGTAAATTTATCTAATTATTTATATTTATTAAAGTGCGCGATATTGCTACTGTTTGTAAGAGTGTTGCATGTGGCGACCTAAGCAAGAAAATTACTGTTGATGTCAAAGGAGAAATTTTGGACTTAAAGAACACTATAAACACTATGGTTGACCAACTACAAACATTTGCTATCGAAGTAACTCGTGTCTCCTTAGAAGTAGGCACAGAAGGAAAATTAGGTGGTCAAGCTATTGTTAAAGATGTTGGTGGTATATGGAAAGAACTTACAGATAATGTTAATATAATGGCTGCTAATTTAACGACCCAAGGTAAATTTTTGAGGGACCTTAAAATTAATTAATTTTTTTTTTTTTTTTTTTTTTACTAAATTTTTTTCAATATATATATATATATATTTTTAAGTACGATCAATTGCTGAAGTTACGACTGCAGTAGCTAGGGGAGATTTAAGTAAAAAGATTACTGTAGACGTAAAAGGCGAAATTCTTGATTTGAAAAATACTGTTAATTCCATGGTAGATCAACTACGTATGTTTGCTGCTGAAGTAACACGTGTAGCACGTGAAGTTGGTACGGAAGGAATTCTGGGTGTTCAAGCTCAAGTTAAGGATGTAGGTGGGACGTGGAAAGAACTAACGGATAATGTCAATACGATGGCGTCTAATTTAACAGCTCAGGGTAAGTTATTATTATTATTTTTACTAATTTATTTATTCATATGAATCATAGCTTATAACGTAATTTGTTAATCATATATATAGTACGTGATATTGCAAACGTATCAAAAGCTGTTGCACGTGGAGATCTTAGTAAAAAAATAACGGTCGATGTTAAAGGAGAAATATGGGGTCTTAAAAATACCATAAATACTATGGTAGATCAGTTACAAACGTTTGCTACAGAGGTAACTCGTGTATCGTTAGAAGTTGGAACAGAAGGGAAATTAGGAGGACAAGCTGTTGTGAGGGACGTTGAAGGGACATGGAAAGTTTTAACGGACAATGTTAATATAATGGCTGCTAATTTAACAACTCAAGGTGATTATTATGTGAAAAGTTGATTATTCGCTCTAAAAATTTAATCCTTGTCAAATTACTCCTTTTTTTGTTTATGTTTTAGTGCGATCTATCGCAGAGGTAACAACAGCTGTTGCATGTGGTGACCTAAGCAAAAAAATAACTGTAGATGTTAAAGGAGAAATATTGGAGCTTAAAAACACAGTCAATTCTATGGTAGATCAGTTACGCATGTTCGCAGCTGAAGTAACACGGGTTGCTCGTGAAGTCGGCACCGAGGGAATCCTAGGTGTTCAAGCTGAAGTTAAAGATGTTGGTGGTACATGGAAAGAACTGACAGATAACGTGAATACCATGGCATCTAATTTAACGGCTCAAGGTAATTTATGAATTTAATAATGTATACAAGCATAACGATATATTCATTTTGTAACAATTTATCATTCTTGAAATTTTTTAAGTTCGCGATATTGCTACTGTCTGTAAAAGTGTGGCTTGTGGTGATCTTAGTAAGAAGATTACTGTTAATGTAAAAGGTGAGATTTTAGACTTGAAGAACACCATAAATACAATGGTGGATCAGCTGTCTACCTTTGCTGCCGAAGTTACCCGTGTAGCTCGTGAAGTAGGTACCGAAGGCAAACTTGGTGTTCAAGCTAAAGTTAAAGATGTTCGAGGGACATGGAAAGAAATTACATCTAACGTTAATACCATGGCTGCAAACCTGACGTCTCAGGTAAATTTTTACGATTTTTTCTTTTTTTTTTTTTTCAAAAAAATATTTTTGTAAACTCTCTTCTTTTTTTTTGTTTAAAATTATCTTTTATATTAGGTGCGTGCTTTCGCTCAAATTTCCACAGCAGCTACGGACGGAGATTTCACCCAATTTATAACTGTTGACGCATCAGGCGAAATGGATTCCCTTAAGACAAAAATCAATCAAATGGTTTACAGTCTTAGGGAGAGTATAAAGAAAAATACCGCCGCAAGAGAAGCAGCAGAATTAGCCAACAGAAGTAAAAGTGAATTTTTGGCAAATATGTCACATGAGGTAACATTCTATTATTATTATTATTATTATTATTATATATATATATATTTTTTGGAAATACCATAGTGATATAGTGATATTTAAAGTAATATTTCGTTTGTTAAAAAAAACTTATATTTTATATACAGATTCGAACACCGATGAACGGTATTATCGGGATGACCACTTTAACACTTGAAACTGAATTAACTCGACAACAACGTGAAAATTTAATGATTGTCAGTACTTTAGCTAATTCTTTGCTGACAATTATTGATGATATATTAGATATTTCTAAAATTGAGGCAGGGCGAATGACTATTGAACAAATTCCCTTCTCACTTCGTTCTGCTGTATTTGGTGTCCTCAAGACACTAGCAGCTAAAGCTAACCAAAGAAAATTAGATCTTATATATGATGTAGACACCGGAATACCAGATCAACTTATTGGTGATCCTTTACGTTTAAGACAAGTCATTACAAATCTTATTGGAAACGCCATCAAGTTCACCACTGAAGGAGAAGTTGTACTGTCTGTGAATGCCAGATCAACTGAAAATGAGCAGGTAACTTTGGAGTTTTGCGTTAGTGACACTGGTATTGGAATTCGGGAAGATAAGATTGATGTGATATTTGACACATTTTGTCAAGCTGATGGATCAACCACAAGAAAATACGGGGGTACGGGATTGGGATTATCAATATCTAAACGACTTGTATCATTGATGGGAGGTGATTTATGGGTAAGGAGTGTTTATGGTCATGGATCAGAATTTTACTTTACAGTTAAAGTAACACTCGGTACAATGAGCAAAGAACATGTCAGCCAAAAAATGGCGCCTTGGTATGGTCGACATATATTGTTCATTGATACAATGTACGATGAAACTGGTGTAGTTAATATTATAGAAGAATTAGGACTTCGACCAAAAATAGCGAGATCAGTTGAAGAAACAGCAATTATTACCGCATCTCGTAAATCAGATACTCCCTTGTTTGATACTGTAATTGTTGACGATTTAAATATCGTTGAAAGACTACGAGAGATTGCACATTTGAGATATATTCCTATTGTATTATTAGCTCGAATGATTCCAAACTTAAATATGAAAAACTGCATTGATCTTGGTATTACTTCATATAGTAGTACACCTACAAGTTTGCCTGATTTAATGAATGCTATACTACCAGCACTTGAATCATATGCTTCAGTACCAAGCGATTTTGCAGGACAACCACCATTGGAAATTTTAATGGCTGAGGACAATATTGTAAATCAAAGATTAGCGGTCAGAATATTAGAAAAATTCGGCCATAAAGTTGAAATAGTATCAAATGGTAGATTAGCTGTTGAACAATTCAAATGTAAACATTACGATCTGGTAAGTTTTATTTTTCTTTTAAAATATTAGATTTTATTATAATATCACTTTTAATAAAAAATATATATATATTATCTAGATTTTAATGGATGTACAAATGCCGATAATGGGTGGCTTTGAAGCCACACAGAAAATACGCGAATATGAACAAGATAAAGGTGGTCATGTACCTATTATAGCATTGACAGCTCACGCAATGTTAGGTGATCGAGAGAAATGTCTCTCGGCTGGAATGGACGAATATGTTACAAAGCCATTGAGTTAGTAATTTTTTTTTTTTTTTTGTTTTAATCTCAAGATATTCAGTACATTAATTATTATCCCTTCCTAATCACATAGGAATGAATGATTTAATTGCTACGATAAACAAATTCCCAGTTAAAAATCCAATTGAAGAAATAGCAAAAGAAATATCTCTAATTCCTAATCAACACGATTCACCTCATGTATGAATTGTATGAACTTATGAATTTTTAATCGCTCAATGAAACTTTAATGTATTTATGTAAAAAAAAGAATTTTATTTTGATCAAAACAAACGGACTTTCTTTTTTTTTTTTTTTAAACAAAACTTTATTTTATTTCTTTTACTTTATTTGTTTCGTAAATTATTCGCTTATATATATATATAATTGTATATTAATTTATTTATATAGGTGTGGCGCTAAATTTATATAGTTTACAGTTTTGACTATGTGTATTTATATATAAGCAAATGTTTTTAATATTTGTACAACTTTTCACTAAGAATACATTCTTGCCGGACAGGACTTTTAAGAATAAATATTTTTAGAAAAATTTTATGTAATTCTTTTTCCCGTAAAAATAATTTATGTTATTGTGTGATAATGGCAAAATTTTCATATTTTCTGTAGTGATTTTTCGAACAGAGCATTGGTTCCCCAATTGTTTATTACGCCATCCTGTAATAAGTTAAGAATGGTCATGCATAAAATGAGTGGAAAAAGATCACAAGATAACCATGTACTGTACAGTATCTGTAAAGCATAAATCCATAAATCCTTAAATTATTTATTGTTTTTATGTATAACATAAGATTAACGTAGTTGGTATACAGATTTATTATGATCCGGATTTCAATCCAGCCTTATACAAGAAAAGAATAAATCCGGTATTATATTTAAACGTTAACTCTATCATAGTTGATAAGAAAAAATTTTTTACAATAAAAATATTTATTACGTACTTTCTCAGTAGTATATTTTTTTCAATTGGCTACACAAATAATTTAGAGTAAATTTTTACCTGTTCAAAGATGATCTCTAAATTTCCGAATTATTTATCCCAAATTGGACAATAATAACTTTCTTAATTAATTCCAGAACATATGATACCTGACCAAAATAATTAAGCTTCAGTTTAATGGTTTTTTTTTTTTTCATGGTTCAGACCATAGTGATAGTGAATCCGGATCTGAACCAGAAAGTAGTTCGGGTCCAAACATAGACCTGTGGTGAAACCTGACCCGAACTGAAACCGGTTAAACTCAGTAAAAATTTATTTACATATTACTAACAATAATATGTCTTGTTTACCATTACGTAAAAATTAAAAAATGTTTCTATCTAAAGAGAGTAATCTATTCTTTTTGATTCACTATGATCGACAAAAAAAGGGCCCACTTTTTTTATTAGGTTATTGTCTAACAAGTAATAACTTGAACTTATATGCTAATTAATTTAAATATATCGATATAAATTAATTAGTAAAAAAAAAATACTTACCCATAATAACGCGCAGGTGCGTTATTTAGAATTATGGCCCGAATTAAGCTTAATTTAGGCTGAATTTCTTAATTTCGCCCCTATAACACTATGTAAATATTTCTCGTAATACTATATTTCAGAAAGTCACGTGAAAGTAAATTAATTCCACACTGACTTTTATTTCAACAAAACAATATTTAATACTAATTTTTAAAATCATAAAACATATATAACAAAAATTTGCAACTATATCAATATATTGTATCTACAGAAAATAGTTGAAAACTATTTTATTTTATTTTTTACAGAATCTACCAAAATATCAGTAGTATAGTTTTTATTTCTAATTGTAAAAAGTTATATAAATTCTATTTTTTTCTTTTGTCTTAGATTAGATTTGTTCTTTACAATCTTTTTAATTTTAGAATTCTCTTAGTATAGAAATTAATAAATAGTTTTGTATTATCAATATTGTATTGTAAATAAAGTATAATCTTTACTTTTTTATTAACTTTGTAATAAACTATTATAGTGAAGTAATATTCTACTTAAATACTGTTTAGAATCTTTTTTTTATATCTTATTTTATTTGTATTATATTAAGAAAGCTAATACTTATAATATTTTAGTGTTTTCTAGTAAAAAAATAAAGAAATACTTCTAGAAAAATAATTAATTAAAGAAATTTTAAAGAAGTTTTAAAGAAATCTTTCTTAAAATTTAATAAGTTTCTCTTTTTTCTTTTGATAATCTTTAACAAAACTTCTCTTAGAAAACCTAAGAAGCTTTTCTTTTTTCTTTTGCTAATCACAATTTATATCATATCTAGTTTATATTATATAAATATCAAAAAAGAAATCTATAACTTCTAAAATAGATTTATATTATACTATCATATAAAAAAAAAAAAATTACTTAATACTATTATGAATTAAAGAAAATCTATTTTATATTATATAAACTTTTTAAAATTAAATTTAGATCTAGAATATATCTATTTATAACTATTTATTACTAAAAAAAGTAATAGTTACTAATTAAAACTAGTAGCTTATTATAACTTCTAAAAATAAAAACATCTAAAAGATAAATACTCTATGAGTCAAACTTGTAGTTATAAAGACTCTAATTAAAGCTAGTAGCTTATTGTGATATTTAAAAATAGAAATACCTAAAGAATAAATACTTTATAAGTTAAACTTGTAGATATAAGAACTTTAATTAAAGCTAGTAGCTTATTATAACTTTTAAAAATAAAAATATCTAAAGAATGAGTATTCAATAAACTAAATTTGTAGATATAAGGACTTTAATTAGCTAGTAGCTTACTATAAACTTTAATATAAAAAAGTTAAGTATGAATTATTTATGAGCTAAATAAGTAGAATAAATAGAGTTTGTATCTTGAAAATAACTTTACAAAATATTGTTATACAAGATTTTTATTAAAAAAAAATATAGTAAATCTATTTTTAGAAAAAAAATTTAAGAAACAGACTTCAAATAATCTCAAACTCTAATCTATAGTTTTAAATACTCTATAACTCAAAGTGTAGGAGTAAAGTATTTTACTATCTAATATATATGAACAGAGCATATTAGATATATATAAAAAGAATACAAATACACAATTTTACAATATCAAAATACAAGTTCAGTATATACAGTTTTTCAAATATTAGATTTAAACTTATTCTGTTAGCTATACTACTTAGGAACAAATTATTATTAATTTTGGAATTAGTATTGCAAAAAATATTTAGTCAAATTTTATTTTTAACAAACTATTTTTGTTTATCTTGAATTAATCTATAGCTTTTCTTATAACAAAACTAGAGTAATAATACATAATATTGTATTTAGTTATTAATATAATACTTCTCTAAATAACTTTAAAAATATTATTTAGATATTTTTAAATAAATATATTAGATATATTTTCTAACTTTATTTTTTTTTTGACCTTGAAATTATATCTTTTGATATTAATATTAATTTTTTTTTTTTTTTTTATTTTATACAAATATTATCAGCTAAATTTTATTAGTATTGATAGTAAGAAATAATTACATATATAAGAGTATAACTAGTCACATATATAACTTTAGATTATCTAATTTAAGTAGTCTACTTGAAAGTTCTATATGAGCTACTATATCTGAAATTTATTTGAAACTTCTTTATTTAAACTCTCTAACTATATGCTATTTTATTCAAATACTATTATATTACTTTATTCATCTAACTCTATACTATTTTTATTTTTAGAAAATATCAACAAAGCTAATATTAGTTCACAAACTTTATAATTCAGAGTCTAGACTCTATTTCAAAATATCTTTTTACTAATTCTCTAATTAATAAATACTGTAAAATTTAACTATACTATACTATATTCTAATCTAGCTTGCATAAACTTTTGTTCAATATTATACAAATCTAGTTTCTACTATAGTTTTTTACTGAGTTAGTCATCTGTACTTCCAGATATTATATAAAACAGATTCTTTCAAATCTAGTTAACTATCAAGCCAAGTTAGTATTACTATATAATCTCATATAACAGACTTACTCATATCTATTTTGCTGATCTTTTTATATGCAGATTTTTTTTTTCAGATCAAATATTAACTAGTATAACTATTAAAATCTGTACTACTTCATCTAATTCAGGATTTCTACTATGCAGATCTCCTATTCATAGATCCTATTAAGATTTATTCATATAATATTATATCTCTTCAAATGCCTTATTATACTTCTAATAATTGAGTAATATTGGTATAATATGATTTATAGAATTACAACCTTTAAAAACAAACTGATTTTATTATAAGTTGAATACAGAAGGTCTAGATAATTATTCAATTCTGTTGACAGTAGAATTTGAACTCTAGACTTCTTGTATAGTAGTTTAACAATCTAACTACTATACTAAGATCATCAGACCTTTATATTGAATTCTAAACTAACTCTATTACTAATAATCTCTATTAAATAAACTTCAAAAAAAGTTTTAGAACTCTTACTTTTTCTATTTCTAATAAATACTAAAATAGTCTTGATCATTTTAAATTTAGTTCTATAGTTAGTAAAAACTTAATAAATTTAGACCAAATTATAGTTTTTGAAGTTTATTCTTCTACCTTCTTAACTCCTTATAATGAAAATACTATTCAGATTGATTTTTTTTTTTAAAATAAAAATTAAAATCTTTTTCTTTCTTTAGTTAATATTTCCTATACAAACATCTAGCTTTTAAATTTTTCCTTCTATTTCTTCTACTAATACTTCTAATTAATAATATTTTAATCTTAACTTTAATCTTCAAACACTACTAACTAATTTCTTAAATTAGTTTACTTTTACTATTAACTTCTCTAATAAAAACCTTCTAATCTCTGAAAACTATCTTCAAGCTAATTTAACTTTTAACAATACTTCCTCTTCATACTGTTACAAGTTGTAGTCTTCTTAATACAATATTAGTAATATAAGATACAGAAAAAGAGCTCTTGATAGTATTTAAGTGAAATATTACTTTACTATAGTAGTTTATTACAAAGTTTATAAAAAAGTAAAGATTATATTTTATTTACAATACAATATCAATAATACAAAACCATCTATTAGTTTCTGTTAGGGTTGTTAATGGGTTGAGTTGGGTTGAGTTAGGTTGAACTAGTCCTCAACCCACTCCAACTTGAGTTGAGTTCACTCTAGAG